CGCGGCGGTTCTGGAACCATACCTGGCGGAAGAGGAAGGGAGAGGCGGTGCAAGGGGAGAAAGAAGGAAACGCGAAAAGGAGGGAGGGCGGGGGTGGGGGGAACGGGTTAAGACAGCTTATGTTCCATTTCAGTTTGTTTTAAACTCCGTGCGCCTCAGCTACCCCTTCGTTCACGCAGCCCACCAAGTCTGCCCGCATTCCCTTGTTTCTTGCGCATCTCTGGAGAAACTTTCTTAATGTAACCTGAGCGTGTCAGGGAAACTGCGGCTTGCTGGAAAGGTAAAAGGGTTGCAGGTCTCAGAAAGGCCCTAAAACGTAAGCCCTTATTTTGGCGGACTTTTGCTCAGTCTATTTATTGAGCTTTCCCAAATTCGCCATCGCCCCTAGGCCTCAGGTCTAAAGTTAAACTAATTGGTAGAAGGAGGAGCGGGTCTCTGTGTTTGGTGTTTGCTGCGAATTCTGGCCTTTGAACCAGGAGAAGTGTGCGATGGTGCGCACTGCCCTTCCACTGAGGGCCTCACCTGGAGAAGCGCCTTGGCCAGCTCGTGAGCCTACCTCTGTCCCTAAACGTTAGAATAAGCCGTGGTTCTTGACTTTCAAGGAGTCACAGCCCCTTTGCGAATCTGATGCTAATCATAATTCCTGGGAAAATGCTCCTATATGCCATGCCTCCAAATTAAATTCTTGAATTCGGAGATATTTTCCAAAACAAAACAAAAAACAAAAAACAAAAACAAAAACAAACAAAAAAAACAACTTATAACATAGGGGCGAATTCTGCGCTCTTCCCACAGGGCACTTCCCGAATGCCTTGCAACGCTGGCTGAGATGGGGAAAACTTTACAATTTTGAATACATAGTCAGGAGAGAACGCCCTAACCCTTCCTCGCGCGCACGGCCAATCCAACTTGGCGTCCCTGTTCAGCCCTGGGCTTCCGGCCTTGCTTCTGAGAAGCTCCGGGATTTCGAACCTTCAGTAACACTTCCCGCTCCCCGGCCTACCGCACCCGGCAAAGCCGAGTAGTTCTCCGGCAGCGCATACCTGGACTCGCGCCTCGGTGAGGTCGATCTTCAGGGCCAGTTCCTCCCGGGTGTAGATGTCAGGGTAGTGCGTCTCCGCGAAGACCCTCTCGAGCTCTTTGAGCTGTGCACTCGTGAAAGTTGTGCGGATGCGCCGCTGCTTGCGCTTCTCGTTGAGGCCGCCGTGGTCGGTGAAGAGTTTGTAAGGAACTGGGGACAACAGAGAAAAGAGTGTGAGCAAAACGGTCTGGAGCGCGCGGACTGCAGAGCCAGAATATAGGAACTTCAAGGTCAGGTGTCACTGGAGCCGCCACCGACACCAGAGCGGGAGAGAGACTGAGAGGAGCTACCGAGAAAAACCGATTAAATTAGTTATGTACAGAAACAGGGGCACAAACATCGGGCTTGGCGAAGTCCCTCCTGGCACAAGCCCCTGTGGGTGGGTTGAAATAGAGCACTGGAAACCACTGAGGTCAGGGACAAGGGATAAATACTTTGATGAGGGTAAAAAACGAGAGAGGATAAAAGTCCGAAAACATCAGTTGAAATATCAGGGAGCTAAGGAAGAAGTTACCAAACACTCTCACTGTTTGAACTTTTCAATTCTCAGAAATTGACCCGGCCCAAAAGTTGGGGAGAAAGTGCTGCAAGAAAAATAATAAATTAAAAAAATAATCACAAAAATGACCAGCCAAAGAGGTGTGAGCCGCTGTCGGTTCTTTAAAAAAGAGACACTGCCAGTAATGAGCTTTACTCTTTGTTATTTAATTATTTTCTAAGCTTTACGTCTCATCGCAAAGTAAATAAATTATGCCTATCATTTTGGCAGCTTAAGATAATTTTGTTGGCGGTTCGGGTGTGACTAGGATAGTGTAACCCTGTAAGTGAATTACCCCTCCCTGCAATCGCTTCTAACGTGATAAATTCTTTCATTTGTGTAAGCAAATTTCGTTTGGTAAATACTAAACACATTTCCATTTTCAAATGCAATCAAGGCTTCCTATATACGAGCAGAAAGGCAGCTTTCTCCACTGAGAAAGCTGGCGGTCCTTACCTGCGGCGTACGGACTGCTCTGGTGGTCCCTGAGGGTGCCGAGGCTGCAGGATCCCGGCGTGAGGGACGGGCAGCCGGACGTGGCCCCAAAAGTGGTCCTTATCGGGTTATATTGGAAGCCACTGGCCTGGCTGCAGGAACTGAAGTCAGCATAGGCTGAAGCCAGGCTCGAGGTGTCCATCCCAGCCATACAGGACTCGTAGGCGGAGGAATTGAGGTAAGAATATTCCATTTTATACATTGAAAAGGCTCTGGATGGCTCAGCCAAGTGGAAAAATGAAATAAAAGATGGGTATGGAGAAGGTGGCTGGAGTGGGGAGATGTGCACAGCTCAACGCCTGCCTCCAAACTGGCCTCCTTACTACCAGCAGAGCCTAGTTTTATGAAAAAGCCTCCTATGAGATGCCTTGTCTGAGGTCTCTAGAGCATATAGTTCTCATAATAAACTTGGCTCTTTCCACTTGGACAATAGCAAAGCGGTTGGTCTTATTGCTGGCGCTTTTTACATGACAATAACTCATCCGTCTATTGGGCTGGCACTGGGGAACTGAGCTGTCCAACCTCCCTATCATTGATTCCTGCATCTCTAATTAGAATTTAATACCACACCATTACGCACTGAGCCCCTGATCCTCCCTTCTAACCAGCTCCCTGCCCTTTAATTCAATCACACTACTTGGAAATAATGAAAGTTGGGTGACGATTCTCCCTGATCCAATTTCCTCGAGCTTTTAAGCCTTTTTAACTGATCATATACCTTGGGCATAAATTGAGATAGTGTGTGTGTTTTCCCCCTTCTTCATCCTCTTCCCCCCACCCCCTCGGTTAGGGAGAAGAAACCTTGATGTCATAGAAAACCTGTTTTGTAAGAGCGTTACACGCTCAATTTAACAACAAGCCTACCCCCCGAAGTGCATGAAATGTTATAAAGGACTGGGACATTGGCAAGACTCAGGCGCCCTGTAACATAGAGTAAGTGGGCCAAGGGGGTTTCTGTGAACGATAAGTGGATTTCTTTAAAATACACCTGGTAGAGGGGGCTTTAAAAAGAGCATCTTATAAATTGCATTTCTTGTCGCTGCGTAATGTGCTTTTCTAGGGACTCAGCTTACACAGCTGCTTAAAAAAATAAAAGAACATTGCTCTTGAATGTAAAACATCTGGATTCTCAACCGATGGCTTCTTTGCGCTCAGTTCTTCCTTTCTGCCATAGCGCAAGGTTTGATTTTGTTGGTTTGGAGGTTCTGTGCGGTTGTTCGTTTTAATTGCACCATAACTAGCAAGCGAGCTTGAAATGTCCCCAAATGTGTCTCTTCTGCTCCCCTCGGGCGCTCTCCCTCTCTTTCTTTCCCTCCACTTTTGCAAGTGCCCGCAGTTGTCCCACAGACCCGCGGCTTCGAACAGAGGATTGCCGTCTGTTTGCCCTTTAGGTCCGCTGACTGCAGTGAGCGAAATCCTCACTCTTTAAATGCCCAGCTCCAAGTGGGGCACTTTTCTGGTCCAACTCCTCAGGCTCTTGGTGGCCGGCAGCGAGGCACAGACAAGCGAGCCGTGATTTGTGGACCTCGGTGGCCCCGTGATTTAAGAGGAGGGTAATTTTCATTTGGTTCGTTAGGCTCTAGCAGAATAAGGGAAACTATTTCATTAAATCCTTCCTCTCGGTGGACAAGAGGGAAAATGCTTAGTTGAATCGCCGTGTGGTGTAAACAAACCCTGGATATTTTATATGAATTAAATGTGTAGATAATTAGTTTTATTGCATTCATTACCCCCTTTATGTGCTCTGTAACAAGTCAGTAATTAAAGTAACAAACTCATAAAGTCTTTATAGGGGCATTTAGGCGTTCAGTGTTTGCCAAACTAAGTGGTTTAATTCGATGCTAGTGCCGGGGAGTGGATGGGCTCCCGCTCTCCACTGCCACCGTGTTTTATTGTGCACTAAACTGCAGCAGACGCCGTAATGGATTAGACAGGGACAGCGGCCCCCCAGCCCTGCACTTCTCTGCTGGGTGAGTTTCTGGCTGGTTTCAGGTGATGGCGCGTCCTCTGGACGTGTGGAAGCGCCACTGGTGGAAGTGCAGGCAGCAGAACTCGCCGAGGAGCTTGCTGATAGTTTTATGGAGAGGGCTGATAGTTTTATTGCAGTTGTATGTTGTACAATGCGTATTTGATAAAGAGGGGCCTTTGGTGACCAGTGTGCACTTTTTTTGTGCACAGAGGTGAAATGAAAATAAATGTATACAAGGTTTTACTATGGCGGGAAACAAATTGCAACGCTCTAAATGGTTTTCTTTATGGTCACCAGACAAGAGGAGAAAAGAGATGCAAACATCTGTCTTCAGTCCCCTAAACCTAAAGGCCAGCAAAGACGGATGTGAATCCAAGTGTTATTACAGTGGGGATTTGTCTTTATTTATCCCGCTCTCATGAATATGAATCTGCATTTGGACCTGGAGGTAGATGTGCTCCTTTGGACGCTGCACATGCAATTATTCCACCCTTGCTTATTCCCCCTCCCCCAGCTTAAGGGAGGTGGGGGATAGATTGTCGAACACAAGGCTGCGATTGTCCAAGTTTCTGGAATCTCTCGGACTTTGGGGGGGGGCGGGGTTCCCGGTTTTCCGAACGCGACCCCGCCACCCCAGGCCCGCACTTGGTGGATGTGAATTCAGGGAACAGGGACTGACTGGCATCCCCTAGCCCGCTCCCCACGCTTAGGTGGGGTTTAAACGCGTTTCTCTGCGGACCGAAATGACGTGGGGCGTCCAGGAAGGGATGCGTTTTGGCTCCAAGATCTGTATTTGGCGATAATCAAGGCTCACACCTCTCTTGGCGCCCACGCCTCGGTACACCCGGGGTTGCGTCTCGGCTGGATGTGAAGTGCGCGTGCTCCGTTCAGGGAGCTCCATCCGGGCCCTGCACCGCCAGGCCTCTACGCCCAAGCCAAGTGCAGGACAATTCCACCTTGGGTCCTAATTGGCACAGTCCCTAGGCCCTAAGGCCGTTGGGGCGGAGGCGGACAGCAGACCTGAAGTGTGTGGGGAGCTGGGAGGAGCAAGGTTTACTTGGACCGCTTTTGAGAGTGCTCTTGGGTGGTGATGTAGAACTTTGGGAATTAGTAGGTGCACGCAGGCAGTCCCCCGAGCAGGGGTGGGGAGTGCGGTGTGCTGCTCAGGGGAGCTGGTGTTGACAAGGCATTCGAGGATGACACTGGGAGAAGCCAAAGAGACGAGGCGAGGACTCCGCAAAGGGGCACTGACGAAGGAAGTGCAAGACCGCAGGGAGTGCCCGGGAGGGCTGACAATGGGCATGCCTGGAGATGGCCATTCCCGGCGGTGGCCACTGCCTCGCACTCCCCTCTGCCCCTCGCCGGCTGCCGGCTCCCACCAGCCCCCGCTTTCCGCCTCCTCCGATCCATCCGCGCCCGCTCTTTCCCAGGTGCGCGGGTCTGGCCCGTCTCTCTCCAGGCGCCCCCTGGTGCCGGGCCTCACTCGGTTGGGGTGCTTCACGCCTTTCTTTTGTACCAGGACATCTTTCAGCCCCGGGCCGCATGGTCGAATGAGCAAAGGCGCTTGACTTCATTTTCCCCTTTGTAGGCCTTGTAGGTTTATTTTGTTCAGTGTCACCGTCCCTCTCCCTAACCCACCCCACCCCCACCATCCGTGGCCCGTCATCCCCTCTGCCCGTCTTTTGTGGCCTGGGGTCCTGCTTCTGCTCCAAAGATGAAAGGCGTGTGGGGCCAAGCCGGAGCCCCAGCCTCAGCGCCCTGTTTTGTTCGAGTTGTGCTTTCTACACGCGAGCTCTCCCCTAAAAGTTGTACCAAATGGTTAATTTAATTATTCCAACTATAGACCAACTGCTTCAGCAGCCTCCACCACGCGTCTGGGAGGAAAAAAGAAACCATCTATAAGAAATAATCTAATAAAAGTGAAGTGTAGAAAAACCCCTCCTGATTTTCAACCGGCACAAATAGAATTAGAGCTTCAGCATCCTTTTCCCAAACAGACCTTTTGTCCAGATCACAACTTCAGCCAACCAGCAATGTGTACAGTGCCTGCTATTTATTTTAATAGAGACGGGTAGATAGTGAGATGGATTGATAGATAAATGGCCACATGGATAGATGGATGGTTGATCCATCTTCCTTTGACTTTCTTTTCTTAATATGTGTACACGGTTGACTTTTTCCCCTGCTTATTTTTTTTAATCAATAATGGAAAGGCAACGTAACGTGGTAAAAGAGAAAAAAGGCCATTTCAAGCACAAAAAGGGGAAGAGACTACCAGCATATATACCATAAGGAAAAAAAAAAATGTTTACATGCTGCCCAGTACCAAATGAAAAAGGTTGAAAGTTTAAAAGAAACTTTTCTTTCTTTTTCTTTGCCATTCATAGGACGGTTTCTTTTTCTTCTTTTTTTCCTTGAAAGTCAGAAAGAATGTTAGAAGACAAGGAAACAAAACAGCAAACAAAATGCCATTGTATTGTAGTAGCAATTCATGGGAAAACGCTTGTCAGCCTCCTAGTGCCTCACTCCTAGGAGGCTGTTTTGAAGCTGTTTCACCACAGGCAAAGCACAATAACATGGGAATGAATAAAATATTAAATACCAGTGAGAGTTTCAGAGGAATTTTTTTTTTTGATTGCTTTATTTGAAGCTCCATCCAAATTATTCCAAACTTGGCAAGGCCACTGCCTGGAAAAGACTGAATTTAGAAAAACAGTTCTCTCAACCAGAGAATTAAAAGGCAAGATTTGTCCTTGGGTTTTGCTAAAAAAAGTTACTGAAGACAGCAGCCTTTCCCACTCACCTGCTCTAAGATAACAACCTAGACTGAGTTTATTGGGACATCATTTCCCTAGAACATAAAGCAGATTAACCACAGCATCCCCAAGCATGAAAATGTATGGATATAGCATTCTCTCAGCATTTTAGAATTTTTACCACATTTTCTATTTGCCTAGCAACCATAATACACGTTTTTCATAATAGAGACTCTTTGTATTTCTGGTAACTAACCTTCTGGCACTGTGAGACTAACAATTATTAACTGATTGACAATAGTGTATGCAAAGTGATTAACAGTGTTTGGAATCAAGTGAATGTTAGCCACTAGTATTATAATTATGGTGATGATGATGATGATGATGTTTGTGGAGTCTTTGAATTGCATATTTAACACTTGACTTTGAAATTTAGACAGTGCACGGACATTGTCTTTCCTATTGCATGTTTAGAAT